TGTTTTACAGTATGTCGACAAAAAACAAGCACGTGACGTGCATACATGACGTCAAGTTTTTACAGCATAAACAAACGTCAACAGTAATTTCATGGTGCCAGTCAAATCACAAAAAATGAGAGAATTATATAACTTATATAAAAGTACGTAGTCCACAATCTTAGACTTGTAAAACAAACCATTGGAACATTTTGAATTCCATGTACAAGTGGGCGTGATATGATGTTCGACAGCAACAGCAAAGACGGAATTAAAGGTCCGACTGCAGTCGACCGACAGTGCAGACTACAGTCGGTTGTGTAATTTCACATTATACGCCACAGGCTCGTTCAAAGTACGTGAATGTCGCGTACCGTCAACGTCTCATTTTTACCAAAATTTGTGCAAAGCGACTGCACATGTTCAGGAAATCCCAGTACCATAAATACCAAACGCTTACAAACATTTAGTTTCACATCTAATGGATACTTGGAGTATTGTCTTAGCAATTACGAACAAGGACGACAAAATGGCGGATAATGATGACGTATTCGAACACATCAGGTGACACAGAAATCTACAAATGGTCTATTTACTTATGCGCCTATTCAGACACAGTTTTTTCAAAACTATGTCATAAACCGACAATGAGGGAATGGGTAAACATCTATTTTGAAAATAAAATGGTGGGAAAGGGGATACCGCTACAGTATTTGAGAAGGTGATACTGTCTGGGAAAGACATGGCATCAATCTATCACATGTATATCAACGTATAGCACAGGTTTTGTTATGATAATCCCTTATTTCTGTTTCAGAATTATGGATTGTTATCGTCTGTGCACAGTCTGTGGTTGTTATGATCCTACTAATTGTAATCATATATCTGTGCTGCAACAGGTGGGAAAATTAGCATCAAAACACGCGCCCTCTAGCAACAAAGCGCGTCAATTACGTCTATATGTTGTAGATGGGTGGTTTGCAGCGACACCTTGTTTGCTTGTTTATATTATGTTTGATTTTGAAGACCTTTTTTCATTCAGAATATAGAAAAGACTCTACAAAACAGTATTATACTTTTATTTATTGGTGATCACAGATTAACAAAATATCGGCGATGTGAACGGTGTTCTTTTCACCCATTACGCCGTAGACGCGCTTCGGCGCTAGAGGGCGCAACTTAAATAAATGTTATACAAACTAGTATTATAAAGTCAGTTGAAATATTCATTAAGTTGAAAAAAGTTCCAGGAAAACAATTCTTTAGTCAGACAAATATTGAATTCTAAACAAAGAATGCTTGCCACTATTTTCTGAAGTAAGGGTCAAATAGTTTACGTAATTCTGCTCATTACTTAATTGAGTCACCTCGGAGTAGATCATGAATCATAATAAAAATATCAGATTAAAAGAAAATTTAGAAAATTTAATTGTTTTGGGTATTCTAAATGATATGCTAAATTTTTACACGGTGTACAGTAGTCTCTAAAACTACTCTTAGCACAGTAATGCATT